CCACCTCTCCCTGCCGCGCCACCCCGTCGACGTTATCAGACCAATCGCGTGCGAAACTGTTAATTGCAAGATATGAGGTGGGTGAGAGCGCTGTACGTGCCGACCTTGGGGAAGCGGCTTTTTGTTTTGAAAAGGGGTGAGTTGGGGAGGGAAGAGGGCGGGGGGTATATGGGTTTGTTGGACGTCGATCGGCTCCTGATGGTATGCGTCGGCACGCGCGCTGTGTGTGGCTGGGCGGGGTGGGGCGGGAGGGGCAACGGAGCGACGGTACAGGAGAGGAAGTCTTTTCTGCGTCGCCCGGGCTGCTTGCTTTTGCTTCAGCTCAAAGATTTTATTTATTATTCCGTCCCGGGGTTCTTCTTTTTTTTCGCCGTACAGCGCGTGTTCCATTTCAATATCGCCCGCCCATGATGCCCATGCATGGGCATGGCATTGGGGCCCACGTGTGTGGTGGTGTGCGTCGCAGCGCGGCCTCAGGCCCGGGGCGTCCCCGGGGGCCCAGCGAATCTCGAAATCGTTACGGGGGTAAAAGATATGGCGCATGAGGAGGAGGGGGCGAAGGACGTAGTCGGGGAGAGCAGGCGAACAGAGAAGGAAGAGAAAGAGAGGGTGTCGCCGTGGCAATATTCTTATCTGGGGGATGCAGACGGCTCGTCCAGCGCTCGCCGAGGCCGAGGATAGCTCCGCCGGGGGCCCGCTGGACTGGAGGTGAGAGTGCGCGTCCAGCGAGTGAAGTGATCAACCCCCCGGTCGCAAGATCAACTCGGTGATGTATGAAAATGAAGCTGAGTGGACAGAGTGGGGCCGCGACGGTCCGGCAGGGCAGCTGAGTGAGCGAAACCATATAGTTGTTTGCCGAGGGGCTTCGTGCGTGGCCCCACGGTGGCCCCGGTGGTGCCCCGCTGCCCCCAGCACCAGCCCGAGGCCCTCCCACATGCGATCGGCTCTGCCTCATTTTCTGCTTTCAGAGAAACGAATCGAGTTTGCCCAAAGTCGCGCTGCGCAAAGCGGTGAATATGAAAAGGAGCGCAGTGCGCCCGCCGCCGTACCCGCCTCTCCCATTGCGGCGGGTTCCTGCTCCCTCGAGGCGAGTGGTTTGCCGACCCGCGAAAGCACTTTCTTTAAAATGACTCTCTTCTTCTGCTTGCAGGGGCCCTGGCGCGGCTGCTGCAGCTCGCCACGTAGTGGTCGGTGAGTAGATTCTCCTCACATTTCATTTTATTCCTTCGAGGGAGGGAAGAAACCCCACCCGCTTTGAGCAACTTTTTTTTTATCTAGACTTTTGTAGCCGACGCCAAGGGGACAATAAACAAAATCAGTTTAGTTATGAACAGCTAAAGTAAAACACAAAACATACGCGAGGACCTCGGCAAAGCAACTTGTCATCTCGCCTCGTGCTGCCCGACTGACCTGGAATGTTTTGGAGCCGTTCGTTGAAATTAGTCCGCCTGGCCTGGCGTTGCCTGGCGTGGCGATAGCGGCCAGCCATTAGTCAGCCCCTTGTTACTGTCGTCGCCCGCCGGCCTAGCGTGCGTGACCCCGGCCAGACCCATGACTTCGAAACAAAGAGGGAAAGAAACGCACACACAGAGGGGCATAACCTCGTTCGGAACCGAATCCCATACTCAAGCTGCGGCAGATTCGCCGTTATTCAAGTTTGGTTGTCAAAGTGATGCGCAGCTTCTTCACCCATCCGCGACCTCGGTGTGTTGTGTAGCAGCTGCTACTCGTCTTCGTCGTAGTAAACTCTCCCCGAGGTTAATTGCACTATAGAGAAGCCGCCAAAGTGCCGCGGTGTGTTCAGCCTCCTCCTCCTCCTCCCCTCCTTGACCTGCACCCGGGCACACAGGTCGGTGCTCTCCGTGTGGCCGCCCTGCAGTGTGCTCCGCAGTGCTCCGCGTCAAAGCCGTCGGCGGGCGGCTCAGGGGCGACAGGCTCAGCAGCGGGCGTGGACCACAAACAACCACGCCAGCCAGTTCCTGGCGCCCGGCGCCATTCCACTCGCCCACAACTCTTCCGTGCAATATAAGCCCCGGCGGCGGGCTGTTCCCCCCACCCCAGGGCAGACTGGGTGGGGTGGGGGTGCAAGGATATAAGCAGGGTCTCCCAGATGTCGGCACCGAAATTCAAACACCCTCTCTCGTTCTACCCGCTCTCTCAGACATTTTTATTTTTTTGCCTCAAACGTGTTTCTGAAATCTGAAAGCGAAATAATTTCTCTCGTCGCGATTCATTCATGTTATTCAAATACTCGTTCAAGGCTCTTTCGTATACGCCAGAATTAAAACGTACATAACGATAACGTTACACGTCCCTTTGGCGCCGGCTGCACCCGTTCCCCCGCGTCCCCCCTGCGCCGCAGCTCGTCACGGCCCCTGTCCCGCTTACCTTCTCCCTGTCTCTCCCTCTCCCCCTCTCCGTCTCTCCGCCTCTCCCT